TGGGCGTGGTTAAAGTCCGATTTCGCCCATTTTCAATACCAACCTACCTTGGATTAAGGGAAACCTACATACCAAATTTCGTTGAGATATCTCAATTTTTGCTCGAGTTATCGTGTACACGGACAGACGGACAGACGGACGGACAGACAGACATGGCTTATCGATTTCTTTTTTCATCCTGATCATTTATGTATACATTTGTCTATATCTATCTCGATTCGTTTTGGCTGTTACAAACAACCGTTATGTGAACAAAATTAATATACCCTTGTGCACAAGTGCGCTCGGGTATAATAAAATTAAGTCAAACGGGAATAATTACAAAATATCATAAAAAAATCTATAAAATATTCCAAACAATTATAAAAAAAATTAAATGTTACAACGAATTAACATTAAAAAATTAAATAAGGACATTAAAAGATTCCAAAAAAAACTGGGGGAATAAAAAAAAAATTTATGTACATCTGTATATCGTCGTTTAAAATACAAAACCGCGTATCGTCATTCTGCAAAACCGCGTAACTGACATGTGCTGTCAAAAATTGGATTTGCTCACACCAGCTCTTGGCCCAATCCTTATCCATTCGTACTGAAATATAATAGCCAGAAATGAGATTGCTTTATAAAAAGGAGAACCATTTTGAAATATGAGGGCTTTTACTCTCTAGAAAATAATTTATGCAACTTCACATACGCGGTTTTGCATTATCTTGATACGCGGTTTTGTACTTTAAACGACGATATGTAAAATAAAATAAAAAAATTTAAATATAAAGAATTTATATATAAAAAAATTTAAAAATAAAAAAATCTATGTAAATAAAAAATATGTATGTAGATATAAATAAATCAAATAAAATAGAAATAAAAAAGGCAATGACAATTAAGAAAAAACTTGGAAAAAAATTTTAAGATAAAATTAAGGATAAAACATTTAACCGAAATTAAAAAAAAAAATTTAATTACTTTTTTTTAATATTTAACAAATGAAGAAATTGCAAACAGATTCGAAAAAAATTGGGGACATTAAAGATGTTGTATCTGTAATACCACATGATTTTGAACTTATTCGATAAATGCTGGAAGCACATCACGAAGTTACAGAGACGGCTAATAGCAATTCTCAAAGTTCCTCAGGTATGGTTATAAAGTGTTATCCAAGATACTTCAAGCTGGACAGCCTAATAGAGAGTGTTGAAGCGATCCCAACTCATCATCGTGCCAACTGCGGCAGCAACAACACCCACCGCAAGCAAGAAGTTGTTCCTTCGAAAGTATAAGGTCCTTTTACCGGCCTCATTCAATGCTAGGCCAGAAGGACACTGCAATTGCGGTTCTTTTAGTTTTCGCCCAGTGTTCGCTGAGCTGGCGTAAGACAAATCTATCTAAGGATGAAGCATTGGTGTTCAATGGCGCTCCAATCGATGTATTCTCAAGTGATATCGCCTGTTAGCCATACAGTTTCCCGAACTAGCTCATGGCGAATTAGTGAGTTCAGAGCCCTGATTGCCGCTTGGCTTTCAGAGTAGATGCTTACCTCACTTGTTTACATCACAAATTTGACAGTATTATGTCTGCTTCTTTTTTATAGCAACCACTTCTGCCCAAAAACGCTAAAGTCTAGAATCCTGAACTTAATGCTGCAGCTTACCGACCGGGTCAAGTATGGTCCTAGATAGGAATCCTAAATGTTGAGGAAAAAGTGAGAAAG